AGTCCCCAACTCCAAATCATCTATGTAAATTGTAAACAATTGTGGTCCCAACACTGATCCCTGAGGCACACCACTAGCCACTGACCACCAACCAGAAAAACACCCATTTACCCCTACTCTTTGCTTTCTACTGGTCAACCAATCCTCTATCCATGCCAATACATTACCTGTGATACCGTGGAACTTTATCTTATGTAGCAGCCTTTGGTGTGGCACCTTGTCAAATGCCTTCTGGAAATCAAGATGCACCACATCTACAGGTTCCCCATTGTCCACCATGCAAGTAATGTCCTTAAAGAATTCAACCAAATTAGTCAAATATGACCTACCCTTCATGAACCCATGCTGGGTGCTTCCAATGGGACAATTTATATCCAGATGTCTTGCTAGTTCTTCCTTAATGATAGATTCAAACATTTTCCCCACTACCGAAGTTAAGCTAACTGGCCTATAGTTACCTGCTTTTTGTCTACTTCCTTTTTTAAACAGTGACGTCACATTGGCTGTTTTCCAATCTGCGGGAACCACCCCAGAGTCCAGTGAGTTTTGGTAAATAATTACTAGTGCATTTGCTATTTCCCCCATCACCTCTTTTAGTACCCTGGGATGCATTTCATGAGGGCCAGGAGACTTATCTACCTTTAGCCCCATTAGCTTGCCCAGCACTGCCTCCTTAGTGATAATGAGAGTTTCTAGGTCCTTGCCTGCTATAACCTTCTTGCCATTAGTTTTCGGCATGTTATTTGTGTCTTCCACTGTGAAGACCAACACGAAATAACTGTTTAATGTCTTGGCTATTTCCTCATTCCCAGTTATTAAATTGGCCTTCTTATCCTCAAGGTCCAATGTTTACCTTCACTCTTTTACGATTTACATATTTATAGAAACTTTTGCTGCCTGTTTTTATATTCTGAGCTAGTTTACTCTCATAATCTATCTTTTCTTTATAACTTTTTTTGTGGCTTTCTGTTGGCCTTTAAAGATTTCCCAGTCTACTAGTTTCCCACTACTCTTTGCTTTTTTGTATGTGTTTTTTTTTCAATCTGATACTTTCCTTTATTTCCTTAGACATCCATGGCTGGCTGTCTCTTTTCCTACAGTTCTTCCTTATCACTGGAATATACTTCTGCTGAGCACTGTGAAAAATCATTTTGAAAGTCCTCCACTGTTCCTCAATTGACCCACCATAAAGTTTTTGCTCCCATTCTACCTTAGCTAACTCCTCCCTCATTCCTTCATAGTCTCCTATGTTTAAGCACAGGACATAGGTACTGGATTTAACCTTCTCACCCTCCATCTGTATTTTAAATTCGAACATACTGTGATCGCTCCTTCCGAGAGGATCCCTGACTGTGAGATCATTAATTATTCCTGTCTCATTACACAGGACTAGATCTAGGATGGCTTGCTCCCTCATAGGTTCCATTACATATTGTTCAAGGAAATTATCGCGGGTGCATTCTATGAATCCCTCTTCAAGGCTGCCATGACCGACCTGGTTTGACCAAACGATATGTAGATTAAAATCCCCCATGATAATTGCTGTACCATTTTTACATGCATTAGCTATTTCTATGTTTATTGCCTGCCCCACCACAATGTCATTATTTGGTGGCCTATAGACCACACCTATCAGTGACTTCTCCCTGCTATTCCTAATTTCCACCCAAATGGATTCAACGTTTTGTTCAGTAGAACCTATATCATCTCTCACTACTGCCCTGATATCATCCTTAAAAATCAGAGCAATACCCACCTCCCTTACCTTCCTGTCTGTCCTTCCAAACAGTTTGATACCCCTGGATATTTAACTCCCAGTCATGACCATCCTGTAACCATGTCTCTGTAATGGTCACTAAATCATACCCATTTGCCATGATTTGCACCGTCAACTGATCCACCTTGTTTCGAATGCTCCGAGCATTCAGATAAAGTGCCCTTATGCCAGTTTTTGCACCTTCTTTTTGGGTCCTATTACCTCCATTACTAACAGCTCTTGAGTTCTCCTTCCCTTTAACTTTTTTCCTAATTTTCAATGGAGTTGAAGCTTCCTCGTCACCTGCTAACCTGCTGCTTTGCCTTACATTAATTGTTATTCTCCCTCTACCCTCACTTCCCCCCCCCCCCCCACTTACTATTTTAAAGTCGTATTAACCACCCTATTTACCCTTTTCGCCTGAACACTGGACCCGGCCCTGTTCAGGTGGAGTCCATCCCAGCGGTATGGATCCCTCCTGTCCCAGAACTGATGCCAGTGCGCCATGAAAAGGAAACCCTCTTTCCCACACCATTCTTTTAGCCACATGTTTACTTCCCTGATCCTCGCCCCCCTATGCCAATTTGCACGTGGCTGTATGCCAATATGCAAGTGAACCTGGTGTACAACTGGCAGAGTAATCAACTGTCAAATTTGTTTTGGCCGTGTGAGTACACCTCACTTCCCTCAACCTCAAAGGCAAGGACAACACTCGGCTCCTTTTACTCCAGGATCAAATACTGCTTCGTATTCCTATTTACTCAGGTCTGCGGCTCCAATTTCAACTGCAAAATACTCGGGTTATTTTGCATTCAAGATCAATGTATGCCTATAAGGTCAGCCCTGAATGAAATGAACTTGAGCAATTCCTAACCATCACAAGGTTGTTCCCAGATGCCACACGATACCTGAAATAGAAAATTGCCCAAAGGAAAAAGTGAAAGTTGAAACCATTTCAGAGGACCGCTCTCTTATTAGAGAGAGAGATGACTGGTAGAAGGTTAAATGTGAGGGTCTTGCACTTCAGCATCATTGAGAAGGTCAGTTATGCAAATTGAACCCTTTGGCCAGGTTAGTTCAGTTGGCTGCATGGTTGGTTTATGATGCCAAATGTTTGTAGATTCGGATTGTGGAACAGACGAGTCCTCTAAATAGCATTCCTTTCAAACCCTTACTGGTTGTTAGTGCTGGACATACTAGATTCCAGAAAGGATCAGGAACCTGAAATCTCTTTGAAGGGAGCAAAAAACCTGAATCTGCAGTTATGTTTGAGTACTGGAATTTGTTGGAAATTAATTACGTTGTTGTCCGAGACTTGAACCCTGTTGACCTTTTGCCCTGTTGACCTTTTGTGAAAAGCAAAAAAATTTCAAGTTATTACATGAAGATACATTGTGCAAACACATAAAGAGTGTGCAAATGTAATTAAATAGTTGGAAAATTTGTGTTTAAGAATCAGCTATAACTTTGAGGCCCTTGTGCCACAGTGGTAGTGTCCATATCCCTGGACCAAGAGGCCCAATTTCAAGTCTCAATGCTGCAGAGCTATGTAATAACATCTCTGAACAGGTTGATTAGAAAAATAGGTTAAATCTTTTTAAAAATCAAGTATATTTATTCAGTTTAACATGAGCCATGCCAACAATTTGTCCAACATACATGAAGTACTAATTTTATCTCTGACAGTAAAACTTATTGACATTCAAAATGCTTTTGCATTCCCTTTTTTTAAACTTTCTTTCCCATCATGATGCCCAATTCAAGGCTTGAATGTTTTCGCAATACCTTGTTGAGTATTTGGAGTGGAAAGAGAAGACTTGTGAGAACAGGAAAAAGATGTTGGCTATTGCTGTGTCAGAACTCATGGCCCCAAAATATCAGCTCTCACTTGTTCTCCCAAACCCCATTTGGGAAGCCCATCTGTTCCAGAAAATGTCAGTTGTTGATTTATCAGAAAGACCTATATTCAAACAAAATTGCTGGGCTATTTCAGAGGGCAATTGAGAGTCAACCACACTGCTGTGCATCTGGAGTCACATGTAGGCCAAACCAGGTGAGGAGCGGCAGATTTCCTTCCCTGAAGGACTTCAGTGATCCAGATGAATTTTTCCTGACAATCCGGCAATGATTTCAGGTGATCAGTAGATTCTTAATTCCAGATTATTTTTTCCCTAATTATTGAATTCAAATTTCACCTGCTGTGGTGGGATTTGCACCCAGATCCCCAGAACATTAGCTGGGTTTCTGGATTAATAGTTTAGCAATAACACCACTAGGCCATTGCCTACCACTGAGAGTTCCTCAGGGTAGTGTCCTAGGCCTGACCATCTTCAACTGCTTCATCAATGACCTTCCCTCGATCATAAGGTCAGAAATGGGATGTTCGCCGATGATTGCACAATATTAAATACCATTCGTGAAGCAGTCCATGTTCAAATGCAACAAGATCTGGACAATATCCAGGCTTGGGCTGACAAGTGACAAGTGGCAAGTGACATTGGTGCCACACAAATGCCAGGCTATGACCATCACCAATAAGAGACAATCTAACCAGTGTTGCTTGACATTCAATGGTGATACCATCACTGAATCCCCCACTATCAACAGCCTGAGTGTTATTGTTGACCACAGACTCAACTGGACTCACTACATAAACACAGTGGCTACAAGAGCAGGTCAGAAGCTAGGAATACTGCAACGAGTAACTCATCTCCTGACTCCTCAAAGCCTGTTCACCATCTACAAGGCACCAGTCAGGAATATGATGGAATACTCCCCGCTAGCCTGGATGAGTGCAGGCCCAAGAACACCCAAGAAGCTTGACACCATCCAGGACAAAGCAGCCCACTTGATTGGCACTACATCCACAAGCATCCACTCCATCCACCACCAGTAGCAGCAGTGTGTACTATCTACAAGATGCACTGCAGAAATTCACCAAAGATCCTCAGATGGCACCTTCCAAACCCATGACCACTTCCATCTAGAAAAACAAGGGTATCAGAAATATGGGAACACCACCACCTCCAAGTTTCCCTCCAAGCCACTCACCATCCTGATTTAGTAATATATTGCCATTTCTTCACTGTCGCTGGGTCAAAATCCTGGAATTTCCTCCCTAAAAGCATTGTGGGTCAACCCACAGCAGGAGGACTGTAGTATTTCAAGAAGGCTCACCACCACCTTCTCAAGGGGCAACTACAGATGGGCAAGAAATGCTGGCCTGCCAGTGATGCCCATATCCCAAAAATGAATAGAAAAAAATTCTATAAGAAAGAAACTCAGACTAGGTTCCGGTATGGAACAACTACTGTTTATTACAATAAGTTTATTCTGATCACAAGCAAACAGCTATGAACTACCAACTTGTGACTTTACTAGTTCAAACTCTAACCTTTTAAAATTCCTATATACACATATAGCTGCACAGAGACAACCAAGAAAACATTGGTTTTATGGATGGAGAGAATGAAAATGGGAACCACAGATCAATAGGACCAGTCCGTGGGAGAAAAATACCAACCATTTGTACAAAATGGCAAATGTAAAGGGAACATACACTGCAAAATTCAAAATTACTACCCAGGCAATACATCCAATTGCATTTTGTAACGAGCATTCAGCCTTTTTAACCTAACCTGCAAGTACAACTCTAGTTTGTGATGCACTGGCATAAGCCTACCAGTAGGATGTCTTCATTCATTTCCCGTTGATAATTTAGACTGTCTTTTGCTAGCTTGTGACACTGTTCCTGGACTTGCTACCCACCCCAAATCTGCCACTGACCCATGACCACCTCTCTGCTGTGCTTCCTTTTTCAGGCTTGTGGTTTCAAGGTCCCATTTACAGTTGAAATGGCTGAGCATAGGACATTTGGTGCAAAGTGAACAAGCATGATTGGTTGTACACCTACTTTCATCATACGTGCATGCCAAGCAGGAGATTACCAAAATGCCAGAAGAATTGTTGCCAGTGGGACAATGGAGTTAGTGATGGTAGCATTTGAACAGGCTATTCACTCACTGTCTAATGTCTGCCTGCTTTTTGCCAGTGGTCAGGTGGTTTATGTCATCACTGGTTCATTGACTTGCAGTAGTTTGATATGCCTTGTACTACTGGCTCTCATTTACCTGGCATGCTGGCAGGTCTATGCCAGCTACCTTAGGGAGAGGATGGAAACAGACATGGCGCATATAGAGGAATATTATCTGAAACCACCTGGAGCTGGCTTCTGGGTAGCAATGGAGGAAGAGGGAGCTGGGGAGGTGGTAGGTACAGTGGGAGTTAAGATGGAGCCTGGGGACCCACACTCCTGCCAGCTCTTCCGACTTTTTGTCGATCAGCGTTTCTGTCGGCATGGACTGGGCAGGAGGCTGACCCAAAAGGTCCTGGATTTTGCCAAGCACTATGGTTACAGATCCTACCTCTTGAAGACCACCAGTGTCCAAGAACCAGCCATTTGTATGTACCAGAAAATGGGCTTCCAGATTCAAAGTTCCAGCCCTGTGCCAGGTCCTGTGCTTCTGCGCTTCTGAGCTTGTTATCCAAAATTTCAGTGTATGAATTGGAAAAGAATCTGTGATTGGCATCCTTGAATCAGTTGAACTGACATCCATCCCTACCCATCAACGCAGCTCAATGCATAGTAAACAAGGCAGATATGAGCACAGGAACACCGTTCGGCTCATCAAACCCGCACTACTATCAATATGATCATGGTTTATTCTCTATCACAATGCCATACTCCACCATCTCCCCATCCCTCTTAATATTTTTAGCCTCCAGTAACCTGCTTTTTTTTTTTTTTAATCCTTTTAAATACATCCAATTACACAATCACCTGTGGTGGAAAATTCCACAAGTTCACCATCATCAGAGTGGAAAAATAAATTTCTCTTATCTCAGTCCAAAATGGCCTATCCTGTGTTCTGACAGAATGACCCCCTCATTCTGGACCATCACATCCGCTCCCTTCTCCTTCCCCTCCCCGGGTGCAGAAGAGGTTTACTAGGATACTACCTGGATTAGAGGGTATGAACTAGAAGGAGAGGCTAGAAAATCTCAGGTTGTTTTCTCTTGAGTGGCAGAGGCTGAAGGGAGACTTAATAGCGGTCTATAAAATTTAGATGCATAGATAGTCTTTGACTGTGAAGCCTTTTTCCCAGAGTTGAACTGTCGAATACTAGGGGGCATGTGTTTAAGGTTACAGGGGGGAAAGTTCAATGGAGATGTGAGGGGCAAGTTTTTTACACAGAGAGTGGTAGGAGTCTGGAACACACTGCCAGGGGTTGTGGTGGAGGTAGATACAATAGGGGCATTTAAGAGGCTTTTAGTTAAGCACATGAATATGCAACGAATCGATGGATATGGACTAATGGCAGGCAGAAGGGATTAGTTTCATTTGACGTCATGTTCAGCACAACATTGTAGGCTAAAAGGCCCGTTCCTGTGCTGTACAGTTCTGTGTTCTATGTTCAGCACAACAACCGTGCTTCTTTTCAAAATATCTCTGTTTGTGAAAACAGAAATCCCATATGCCTTGCTCCCTGCCATTTTCAAATATCTATACACCTGAACCCAGATAATCCTCTGCCCTAACGCACACTTTAAATCTATGTATCAAATCTATGATGTCTCTCCCTAATCCTGCCAAAATACACATTTATTTTTGTGCATATGTGTCTGAATCTTGGGGAGAACTAATCTATCCCACCTTTTCTATCTCCATCCTATCTTCTCCCCAACCCCTTCCTGTTGTTTAATAAACTCATAATTACAGAGTTATGACATCCTGTTACTATTTGTTTAGTAGTTATCCTACGACAGAAGATCTTGGAGTTGTTTTTTAAGGTTAACTAACATTCTGTTCCCATTCTGTCTCACTAGTTTTATTTTCGTCTTCACTTCATGCTTAACTTATTTATTTGGCCTGGATCATCAACAATTCATGTGACCTGTATAATAAGCTCCCTTTTTGGGCAGTAGGGGTAGGCAAAGTGTTAGGATTTGATGAGAGATATCTCGACTGAAAAGGAGAAAAGGATTCTGTTATGGACCAGACCCAAACCCCCTTCAGATATATCAAGGAGACAGCCTAGACCCTGCCTTTTATTTAAAGGCTTGCGTAACATGCTCTGTTCCAGATGTAATTTGATTTGTTACACTACTCGGCTTTAAGCAAAATACACTTTATTCTTACCTTATAGTTAAAACACAAACAAAAGAAAGAAGAATTGGCATAACTTTAATTCTATTGGAAAACTTAACAGAATAACAGATTATTTAACTACAAAGTAACAACTATCCAATATAGTAACATCCCATAAACACACCCTTGGCAAAGGCAAATTCAGTACAATAGGTTGTCCCATATGTAATTCTCGCAGTAGAGAGAACTCCAGCTTTTTAGCTGTAACTGAGAGAGGATTAACAGCTTCCACATCCTGTTTCAAGACACCAGTAACTGCTGGAAGCTAAACTGAAACCCTGGTTCTGTGGGAGCCTGACTTGACCCGTGCTGCTTCTATTGTTCCAACTTTTAAAAAAAAACCCAAGGCCTCACAAGCTGTTTACTTTATTGACCTGGACGAGACAGCTCATCGCATATGGCTCAACTCCTCTCTTCAAAACAAAAGGACAAAATACACCTTTTAAAGCCATGGTATTGTCACAATTCTTTATTTCCTGCTGACCTCTAAGAAACAGGAAGAATTATTGCTAGTAGTCCTGGTATTTCAATTAAGAGAATAAATTACATTTTACCTCAGCTGACTCTTGAGTTAAGGTGGGAACTGGTTATGTCTTTTGATCAAGTTAAGCATATTTTGGGCACATTAATTTGAATACTTTTGACTATATGCCAACCATACATTAAGTATTAGCATATGTGTTAACGAGAGCCCAGGCTCCCAGTTAAGCAATGATTTAATTTTAAAAGGTTCATCCATGCTTTCAAATCCCTCCATGGCTTTGTCCCTCCCTAAAGCAAGACTAAGGATGTTGAACTTAAATAGCTACTCCACCGTATTCCCTTCTGGGCTTCTCTTCCAATCAACTCTGGCGAGCTCCTCCTCCATGTTTTTGTTGTTACCCTTACTCAATTGTACTCCAGTGCATGGTATATGAAACAAGGTAAGTAAGTTTGTAGTACAGATTGAAATTGGCAGGTATGATGTTGTGGGCACCACAGAGACACAGCTGCAAGGGTTTCAGGACTGTGAACTAAATACCATAACTGACATGCAGACGGGTGGAGGAGGTGGGTTGCCTTCTTAGTCAGAAAGGAAATTAAACCAATAGCAACTAAAATTACAATGGAGTAAAGTGACTACAAAAAACATGAGGAAAGAGCTAGCCAGAGTTGATTGGAAGGGAAGACGGTTGAATAGTAATGGCAGGAGTTTAGGGGGTAATTTAGGAGGCGCAGCAGAAATTCATCCCAAGGAAGAAGAAAGGTTCGGTGTAAGAGAGGATGAGATAACCATGGGTAACAAGGGGAGTTAAGGACAGCATAAAAACTAAAGGAAAAGCATACAATCTGATGAAGAATAGTGGGAAACCAAAAGATTAGGAAGCCTTTAAAAACCAGCAAAGGACAAATAAAAAAGCAATAAGGGGCAGAAGATGAAATATAAGGGTAAGCTAGGTAGTAATATAAAAGAAGATTGCAGGAGTATTTTCATTTAGGTAAGTGAAAGGTAAGGGAGAGGCAAGAATGAACATTGGACTGCTGGAAAACAAGGCTGGAGAAGTAGTAATGGGGAACAAAAAAATGGCAGAGGAGCTGAGTAATTACTTTGCATCATTCGTCATGGTGGAAGACACCAGTAGCACACCAGAACTGCAGGAGAGTCAGGTGACAATGGTGAGTGTAGTAGTCATCACTAAGGAGAAGGTTCTGGGAAGCTGAAAAGTATGAGGTGGCTAAATAACTAGGGCCAGATAGACTACACCTCAGGAAACTGAAGGAGATTGTGGAGGCCTTCGTAGTGATTTTCAGGAGCCACTGGAGTCTGGGAGTGTCCAGGCGTTTGCAAAAAAAAGTTAATGTAACATTTCTGCTTAATAAGAATGCAGTTGAGAAACATATCAGCCACGATTGAATGGAAGAGCAGACTCAATAGGCCAAATGGTCTAATTCTGCTCCTATATTTTGTGGTCTGTACCTGTAGTCTCCTGCAGCCCTACAATATGAAACATCAACAGTTATCCAATTCCTGCCTCGAGCTTGCTAATTTTAATTACTCTATCATTGGTGGTCATGCCCCAGCTTCATTTGTCCCAAGCTCTTGAATTTCTACCTTATTTCCCATCTTTCTCAAGGGACTTTTTAATATTTGAATTATGTTAATGGAATTGTGTAAATAAAGTTGTAGATTCTGCTTGAGCACGATGCAGTCTATATCACTTCCTACTATATTTTGTTCTTATTTCGGATTGTGAACCAAAGTAGGAAAGGACAACTTTAAATACAAGACCATGGAAAGAGTTGCTGCACTTTTTTTTGTGAAAGCAAGTTACTAAAACTCATTGACAGTTGTGTTTACATCATTGCTTTGTTCAAGCAGGGAGATAGATGTCTGTGATACATCCATGGTGTCAGAGCATGTGTGGAGCATGCTTTGCCCAATGACAGATTGTGGATTAGCTTGTGCAACCATTTGTGGAGGCCAAGTGTGTTAGCAGCATGATGAGTCTGTACAGGTGGATAGCTTTTGTCTGAAGAGTGGAAAGACTGAAGCCTCCAGACTGCAAAAAAACAACAAGGTTGTGCGTCTCTTTGTTTTCTCTCTCTCTCTGTCTTGCTCTCTCATGCTCTCTCTCTCTCTCTGCACTGAAGTAACCAAAAATTGAAGGATAGCTAGCTTTCTCTCTGACTGGTTGCTTAAGCTGGTTAGAACCAAAGGTGACTGAAAGATTGAACAGCTAATGTGTCAACTGCTCACATTATCAGCACAGAACTGAAAGTATCTGAAAATACGGAGATCGGAGAACAGAAGGACTTTGAAGACACAAAAAGGACACCCTATCGAATCCTGTGGACTGACGTTGTTGAATTCTCTTTCCCGCCCATAGTCTCCATGCTTGTTTTATGAAGAAGGGTCTAGGCCCGAAACGTCAGCCTTCCTGCTCCTCTGATGCTGCTTGGCCTGCTGTGTTCATCCAGCTCTACACCTTGTTTGCTGTGTTTGTCAATGTGTATGCATAGGAGTTAGAAAAGGGAGATACATCTTATATCAGCAAAATTATAGATAACTTGATTCTAACCACAGAAAAGTAGAATGATTTCTTTGTAATAAATAGAACTTTCTTGTTATTTAAAGAAACCAGGTCAGTGCTTTCTTTTAACCATCAGATACATTGGGAAATTTTGAGTAATTTGATTAAATCTTTAACTGTTGTGATGACTCCTGGAGGAGTGGAGCTCAAACTTCGGAGCATTTCCCAAGTAGACACCCCTGGTAGGGTTACTAGATGTACAATATCAATTGTTTCCTGTTTCTGTTTTTAATGTGGTGTTAATCATGTATCACAAATGCATAAATAAAACAGTTTCACTTCCTGACTTGAATTTGTCCAGCAAGCTTGTCATTTCTTTTAAAACAAAAGGAACAGAAGTTAAACACCGAAATAAAAGAATAACATTTTCTTTGTGATTTTGCTTCTTGCCTTCAGGCCATGACAATCCACATATCCCTTAATTCCCTCCGTACCAAAACAAAGTTGACATCTGTCTTGACTATACCCAGTGCAGTTTTTTGGGGTAGAAAATTCCAAGGATTCCCAAACCTTTGACTGAAGACATTTCTCTTCATCTCAGTCCTAAAAGACTGAGCCCTCATTCTGGATTCCCTACTAGAGAAACCATTTTCTCAGCATTCGCTTTGTCAAGCAGTTCAAGAATTTCATGTTTCAATTAGATCACTTCTAATTCTTCTAAAAAGTCAGAGTCCTATAGCACGGAGACAGGCCCTTCAGTCCAAACAGGTCTGTGCCGACCAAAATGTCCATCCACGCTAACCCCATTTCCCTGCAATTGGCCCATATCCTTTTAAACCCCTCCTATCCATGTATTCATCCAAATGCCTTTTAAAGGTTGTTAATGTACCCCCCTCAACCACTTCCGCTGGCAGCTCATTCCATATGCATACCACCCTCTACGTAATAAAAAAAAGTTGCCCCTCAGTGTCCCATGTATTCTTTCCCCTCTTACCTTAAACTGAAGCCCTCTAGT